TGAAAGATAAAGATGTCTCAAGTCCCTTTTCTGTCTGCTTTTAAATATGAAATAGCAGCAGAATGTACACGCTTCCCTGCTTTTAGCTTTCTGCCTATAAAATACGTACAAAAAAATCAGGGACATAAGATTGGACAAGAAGCATAACATTGGTTTTCTAAAGAAGCATTTTTTTTTTTAATTAATGCAGTATTTGTGCATCACAAACAATACACAAGGCAAAAATTTCAGTTTACCTTTAAGTCAATTTGTTTTAATTCCTGGAAACAGCTGTTTTTACCCCTGGAGCAGCTTAAAAACCAATAAAGTACATGTACTAAATCTTTAATAATTCTTTGTTTGCTATTAAAACATTATCAGTAATTATGGTTTCAAACGATACTGGCATTACTTTCTGTATGTTCAAACACCGAATATTTTAATCTAATGAAGCATTCATTCCTTTCAGCTGTGTTTTCCAGGTGTACCTTAGAGACTACCAAAGACATGACAGGGGGTTCTGCTGAATGACCAATGTAACCTATTAAGGGAGACTTGATTTTATGTATCAACAAAAAGAAAAATCTTCAAAATGGCTATCAAAATACATTTTAGGGGAGAAAACAAAACTCCCTAAAGGAGTAATTGCTGTAGAAATGATATACCGTAAGCTTAAACTACAGAGCTGTCAGTAAGAAATACTGACAGAATAGTTTCTCAAATAATTTAATCAATGCTACTATTTTTTAAAGATAAACTGTCTAAAAACTAAGATAAAATAAACTAAGATAAAATATCAAGGTAGGAAATAACCCCTCCAATACAGTTTATTTGTATGGAGGGCTATGAAATGCTAAACGCTAGTCATGCCTTTATGCCCACTCCCAAATTTAGCATGTAAACCCATTGCAGAAAATAGAGAAACTTCTACAGCCCATGACTGTAGGTGTGAAGGGGGGTGGCTTGCATAATGACAAGGTGAAGTCACTGAAAGTTGCTCAAAGCCCACGTGAAAAAAATTGCCTAATTCTATGAAACTTGGAGGCAGTACTGGGAATGGAATATGCTAGCTGGGAAGCAGTTCTTGAGTTGTTCTGATCAGTGTAAAACCCTGATCAAAAATATTGCTGTTGAGTTCTAGAATGGTAATCATAATGTGCAAAGATCCAACATTCATGTGAAAGAAAGAAAAAATAAGAAATCAACTGCAGTTGTATTTAATTTCAAAGGAAGGGGAATTATATGTAATTATGAAGCTTTTAAAAAGAGCAAAAATCCTTGAGGACAGCATGGAAACTATTCAAAGACACTATCCCAGAGGCTCAGACCATATGCACAGCACTCACTGAGAAGGACTTGAGAAAAGCCTGAAAGAATCCAGCCTGACTGAACAACATAACAGCCATAAGGAGGGTGCTAAGAACAAGAAAGCACTCTTAAAGCCGAAGCATCCGAAATAAGGAAATCAGGAAAGATTTTATATACTGAAAGGTTAACTTTTATAGGTTTCCAGGTTTATACTCTGGTAGCCCAAGAATCAATTTAAAAGAATGAAGAACAGCTAGAAAGAGCATAAATCCAAAATCTAATAAAGCCCTTTTTAGAGGCAATACCAGCAGGTAACCTGCAGACATTCACTATGACTAACAGATGCTCCAGACATGCAAGATGCACCCAAAGATAAATGTGGAACAGAAAGACAATGTAAATTTTCATATCCTTGTTCACTGTGGAAGAACCTGTGAAGATCTGAGGTCAGAACCCTTCCTCACAGACAGGGCATCACACCTGGCTCAAATATCATCAAATGATTCAACAAATAGACATGAATACCAACAAACCACTTGGATTAGGTGGCACCCACAGAATTTGAAAGTAACTGTAGGAAAATAAAATAAAAATAAATAATAAAAAAAAAACAGAACCATCCAACCCATGCAGTGTTACTTCTCTGTACAAAAGCAGTTTTAAGAAAGCAGCAGGAAGATGGCCAGTATCACTTCTACACTTAACAGAGCACGGAGCAGTCTGGTGCCTACTGATCAGCAAAGCTAATAGAAACTGTAACACAAACGTTTACTACACTTACTGATTCTTCAGAAAGTCAGCTTTTAGGTGGATAAGGGAAATTCACCTGATAGTGTCTACCTGAATCTCCTACAGGTGTCTGACACAGCTCCTTACCCAAGGCACTTACAGGAGCCCAGCTGCCATCAGTGAATGTTCTCAGACATAAAAAATGGGTCAGAAAAAAGGAAGTGGTCAAGATGCATAACTCCCAAGTGAATCTCTACTGGCACCTCTACTGTTCAATATATTCAAAACCATCTGTAGGAGCAACTGAATAGCGAGGAAGTGAGGTTTCCTAGCACCAAGCTACTTGGCAAAATGCAAGCAAGGCCTGGTTGTGAAGAACTGAGGAAAGACTTCATTACTCAGAGTCACTGTTGAAGAAAGCTGATGAACTTCAGTGCAGAGAAGTGCACTGTAGAGCACACAGGAAAACCAACCAAACACAAACTTCATAGAAACAATCAAAGCTCTAGCAAATACCACAAAGGTGTTAGCTCAGCAGTTAATAACGGCTAAACAGCATAGTTAGGAAAGGAATAAAGAACAGGACAAAATAAAAAATATGAGCAGCTGAATAAACTTAGTCTGTGAAAGTTGAGTGACAGCAACATGACAGAGGTAGAATCCATCACTTGCAGGACTGAGCACATGAATACACAACTCTGTCATCAGACAGAACTAGGAGAAGTCAGGTCCAGAGATGACTCTCAAACACATAGTTAGGCTGTGGATTTAGGATTATTCTTTTTTTTTTTTTTTTTTGGAATAATTTGATATTACTTATTTTTTTAGTTTTATATTTGTGGTGACTTCATTTTTCTCACCAGATCTTATCCTAGCTCATCTCTGCATGATCTATCTGAGAATTTAGCCACTGAAAGCACCCAGGGCACTAAGGATGCTCCCTCCTGCACCACGCAGTCTCCCTACTCTCACACATACCAGACACCCTGCAAGAAATACAGAGGACTATTCCCTCCACTTGAGGAAAAAATAAATCAACCTGACAACAGCTGATGGTACTGTTGCTTGTATAGTTACTTGAAAAAAGTGCTCTATATACTTTCCCAGAAATTCTTTGCTTGGCATGCTATAGCATTAGTTTTTGGGAGAGGTGGTGGGGAAGATGACAGAACTTACCTAAACATACAGTCCTGTGTGTAGTCACTAAAACACTAACAAAAGTAGTGGACATCTGAAGCATGGGTAAGAAAGACAGATAACGTATTAAAAAAAGCCAAAACAGAGGTCTCTGTCCAATAAAGTCGGGAATTTATTGTGTTTGCTACTACGCTCCATCAGTTACATGGATATTTTAGACACCCCACTTTGAGTTTCTGGTTCACATAACTCACATAGCAAGAGCAGATCAGCACATTTCCACATCATGTGAAAGCAGACTGAACAATGACTATTAGGGGTAAGGTATGGAAGCATGATTTTACAGAAAGGCTAGTAATAAAAAAGGGAATTAATTGTGCCAAACCATAACAGTACTGGTAAATATTTTGTGTAGCTACCTGCTTGACAAAAGGAATTATGTCTATAGTATGACCGAACTCTAAAGCCAGAGGAAAAAAAACAAAGACAATTGATTTACATTTTAAACTGCAAGAAACTTTGCCTCAGTTTTGTTAGCCCTTGAGTCCATTTTTTTTTTCTTTTTCCCAATCATTCAGTCATTAAAACACTGCATTGAACTTTATACTCTTGGAAGAGAGCTAAGTAAAACATTAATATAGAAACATTGTACTTAGAGATGGTAGCTGGGCTACACATCCTGAACAACATTAAAAGGCAGCAGTCATTGAGAAAAGCCTTAATTAATACTTATTTGGGAACACCAAACAAGGACACTTTGGAAGAATGAAACAAACCTGGAAAATTGGTAACCAAATCACATTTTTGTCCATGTTTAGGGCAATCTTCAAGAAACACTTGATACAACTTTTCCAAGAAATTTTTACACTGCCTTGAACACTCCTCTTATTACAATTTCCCTATACAGTTGATGTAACTAGATGGCTTGTCTGCCATCTGTCCCCTCAGCAAATGCTTGGCATTCTGTGCCAAATCAACCAGACCATCTGCAATTAATAGGTTGCCAGAATGACTGTATACATATACTTCACATGCTCAGAGTTGGTGATTTCTCTTTATTTGGCAACAAGCAAAGCCAAATATTTCCAAATGATACCCAAGAAAATACGGCAGAATCGCTGGGACTGAACAGCCCTGCCCACATCGCCAAACCAATGCAACTTGTAATTTATAAACAGGTACACGGCAAGAGAATACCTTCTGTGTGTGGCAACAGAAAGTGACTGCTAAAGCTCGCCAGGTGCCTGAAAGACCTAGGAAAAGTGCAGGCTCTCCATCCTTGGAGACTTTTACCAGAGGACGCTCGGTGCTGGTGTAGCCCAGAAGCAGCCTAAGCATCAAACTTCCTTCACTTGGGAGAAGGTGAGTGTGGTCGCTGCCCAGGTGAGGCGGTCTCAGGTGGAAGCAACAGGGAAGGAGCCGCTGCTGCCCTCCGCCTTGCGAGGGGCTGCGGCACCCTAAGGCAGCCAGGGCCCTGCTGGGCTCCGCAGGCCACCTGCAGGGCCCCTGCCCGGGCAGGTGGCACGAGCCGGGTCACCCACACGGCTGCAGGCCCCCGGCAGCACGGCGCCGGCACCAAGCAACAGCCGCACAAGTTGCGGAGCTCAGCCTGAGCGGCGCTGAGGCGCGTTTTAAAATTAACACTCGTTTCACAGCCGCACCTTGCCGGCCCCAGAGCTAGGCTCCGGCGGGGGGAAAGGCCCAGGCCCAGGGAAGGCCCCGGCCCGGCCCCGCTCCCTGCTACAACCGCGGGGACCCCGGCCCGGTGCGGGCTGCCCGTGCCCGTCCCGCCCTTCCCTACCTCCCGCCCGCCGGAGCCCGCCGGCCCGCGCCGAGGTTCGGCGTACCGTGGCGGAAGGCGGACAGGGCCCTGCCCTGGGCCCTCCGGAACGCGTCCCCCGTGGCCGCCATGCCGTGAGCAGCCGCCGCCAGCCGCCGGGCCCCGGGCCGCCGAGGGGGCGGCACCGCCTCCGCCGGGGAGGCGCCTGGGCGCGGGGGAGGCCGGCCCGCCTGAGGGGGGCGGCTGCGGGGGGCGGCCCTGGGAGGGGGGAGCTAAGGTGAAGCAGCACGGAGCCCGCATGGACGCACCCGGAGGAGCGAAAGTCGGTAACACGCTGCAGGATTTTCTTCAAGTGTTTCCTGAGGTGTAAAGTGAGGAGAGCCAACGTCATCTGAAAGAGCTGGCAGTCTTCCTCTGCACCGTGAAGGGATGTTTTCCAGCTTGCACTGCCTTTGCTTCAATTTTACTCGCAAAGTTGCACAATGAATCGTTTAGGTTGGTAAAGAGCCTTAAGATCGTCAGGTCCAACCACCACTGAACACTACAAGTCTGCTCCTACCCCATGTCCCTCAGTGCCATGTCCACACACCTCTGGGGACGGAGACGGGGCCTCCCTGGGCACCCGTTCCAATACCCAACCACCCTCTCTGTCAAGAAATTCTTTCAGACAGCCAATCTAAACCTCCCCAGCACAACTTGAGGCCATTGCCTATCACTGGCCTCAATGAGGGCATTGTCCTATCACTTCTCACCGGAGAAGAGACCAACATCACCACCAATGGTTACACAAAAACAGCAGAGGCACAGTGCCTGCTCCCCATCGCACGAGTTACCATGGCCCACGTAGTTTCCGCTGTATGGTCAGGCCATAAGAGTACAAGGGTAATCCTTGTGAGGCAAAGTTCTCTTAATGTTTTCCAGACTGGAGTCCCTTTTCAACCCAGCACTGTAGATGAGTCCTCACAGTGGTGATTCCCATGACAGTACAGCCACAGCACCATTCTTCTTCACCCCACGACATGCAGGGCTCTGAGTGCCTCTTCATCCATCCTAAAACCTGCAGTGAAGCACTGGTTAAGGCTGCTATCATTGCCTAAAACACATTCCTATGGCTGGATTATTTTTCCATCTGTAAAATGGGGATATTATTATCTCTGAATGAAGACCGTTTTGATGCCTGTTTCATTCCTGCTTGTAAACTACTTGATGATCGTTAAATGCAAAGCTCCAGAGGAAGTCTTTTTATTAAGTCATTTATGTCAATTCCCCTCTTCATGAGGCAGCATTTGGTACATTAAGCAAGTAAATACTAAAGTGCATTTGTCACTCTCAGGTGTAGCCTATGTAAATATCCTAACACCATCATAGTTGTAGGTGATCGCAGTATAATGCTGGAACAGCTCCGGCTAATAAGAGCAATTGGTTGAATGATCCAAAGAGATTTTTGACCTTTTCTATTTCTTTCCAATTTTCAACTTATCTGCTTAATAGGACCATACAGTCACACAGCAGAATACAATCTTCCAAACTGCATGACTTCAGCTAAACTCAGGATGAATTTTGCAAGTGAAATACCATCAAGATCATGCCAAAAAAAAGTGTAGAGAGAACATAACTATTTTGGCAAGACAGCCTACCGTAGTTTTGCAGCACAAGGACAGGCTTTTGATCAGCACACAGAGCTACCTTTTTCTTAACCTGGATGTGAAAGATATCCATTTTTCTTAAATCAAGGTATGCACACCCGAAAGAGTGAATCAGACCTGGTGAAGAAGTGGATGGTTACAGCCACATGGACTCCAAGATCTAGGTTTATCTAAATCTCTGTAATTTCACAGCTTTATTTTTTTTTTCTTTATGTCTGTGTAGGGGGGCTCTCTTCTACAATTCTGTTGTCAGTACTGTATTCAATCTCTTTGCAGGATGGGTCATGGATGAGCTTCAGGATGCTTAGCTCTTTCTAGGTGATGAGTATGGTAAGTATGCAGGGTGTCTACACTGCCTCCTCTTCAAATGGAATCCACTGGTATTACATCTGCATGAGTATTGTCTACTGTAATGAGGATGCCATGAGAAATTTCCATTTTGAAATTTAAACACATTTTCTTATGATTTTTCAGCCTGAGTGCAGAACTGTTTTCATCTGCGGAAATAAAGGAACATTTGCATATAAACGTGAGACCTGAGGATGGCGAATATATGTGCAGGTGGGGAATTTCTGCTCTCTCCTGCCTCCTTCACTGTGCCAAATTTGGAGAGCACATTTTTGAAGCCAGGATCATAGACCAAGTGCTATATTCATTTTACTATGACTAAGTCATTTAAAGTTACTACATATCTATGTTTTTTTAATTATAGTTTTTTATGGACTTACTCCAGATGAGACCTAGATAAAGCAGCAGAATTTTGTCAGAAGACTTTATTTGTTATATGAAGTGCTCTGAATATAATGGCACTGAATAAATAATTTAAAGTACCGTGTATCTGGTCTTTTTTATAGAGTATAAATTGAGTACAGTTTTAATAATTTTAAAAAGTTACTGTGAACATACACAGGAAAATATACCATTCTGTAAAAGCATACAGTATATTGAATATAAGATAGATCAAAAATGATAAATGGAAGCAGTGAAAAGGAAATGTTTATATGAGGTTTAGCTTTGTAACAACTGATTATAATAGGGCAGGTCTGAGGAGTCCAAATCTCCTAATTACTCTAGTACGTATTACATCATACTGCCAATCCGAATAGTTCTTAACTTGGAAGTTCTGAAACAAACAAACACAAAAAACAACCCAACCCAACCAAACCAAACTAAACCAAACAAAAACAAACAACAACAAAACCCACCCCCCCACACAAAAAAATACACAAAAAAAACAAAACGAAACAAAACAAAAACAAACAAAACCAGTTGCAGTCTACTTCATTTCCTACTACAACTAATTAAGTATGATTATATGTACTTTGAGAGACCTAAATAATGTACCAATAAAACAAGTAATTAATTCTGAAATTTACTATCACTGATGACAAATCATATGAGGAATGGTTGAAGCAGGGAATCTTTTCTCTATTCTTGGCAAATGACAAGAAGATAACAAATTGCAAAAACGGAAGAATCCAAAAGGTCAAAAGGACAGAATGGGATTGGTCTAGATGTTGAAATTAAAATTACAAAGCATAAACAGATATGCAGATTTGAAAGTAAACCATTTTAATCTTATACATTTAATAGAATCACTACGTGCCATCTGGAATACAGGGAATCCAATGAAAATTGGAGGTGTAAACAACACACAAAGAATTATCAACATCTGTTTTCGGTGCTTGCTAATATATATCAGTCCTTGAGGGATAAGTTAGAGAAAGCAAGGGGAATTAATAAAAACTGATGGTATAAAGAGTATCACATCATTGCATTAGTTTAGAGACAATATGGACTTACATAGGCTGAAGAAATAAAGCATATAATGTAATGTATCAAGTCTGTTTTCTATTTCTTTCTCCTTCCAGCTCACATAAATGCTGTAACAGTAGTACAGCATTCCTAGTAGATGTTATAATCTAGTACGTTTGGCATATGACACCCCTCCTATTTTTCTCCCCCAAACAACTAATGGATACAAATTTCTAAACTCTGAAAGCTTTGAGTAGTAGCTTATACTAGCCTATTCTGTCTTTACCTCCCATTACATTGCTGAGAGTAGAAGACTCCAGACTACAGAAATACAAATAAATTTACCAGTTGGAGCCTGAAAAATTACAAAATACGGTAAAACGTAAGGTCTGCCCTTTTAACATTCTATATGAACATAAATGAGTCATTAAACAGTGCTTATTGGTATTTTAAAAGGCCCTCTTAATATTTGGCCTCAATACCAAATATTTATCCATTTTCAAAGGGTCCAAAAAATTAGATTAAAAAATACTTAAAATGTTTTGCACAAACCAACTTAAAAAGATTGGTTGTCCAGGACCAATATTTTGCTTCTAGGGAGGGAACAATGATGACATTGATTATTTCCAGAGTTAAGAATCCAAAATGTAATTGATTTTTATCTGACTCATTTAGTGTGGGCAGGCTCCATTTGTTCAAGAAACCTGTAATATATTCCTTGAGTCACTGTAACTATGAGAGATATAAAAGTTGATGTAATGAGTTAAACACACTATTTAACTCAATTTGTTTTGCACACTGAATTCCCATTTCTGACACAGATACAGGTTCTATCTAGATCCAGGTAGTTTTTGTAAGATTGTAATAAGTGTCTCATTCATTTTATGTGCTGCCAAATATTCATGAGTTCTACTTTATTCAGGGTGTCTCTGATTCTGGATTTCCCTATCCTGAGATTTCGTTTTCACATACACTAAATACCTTCAGCTTTCACTAAGCAATTGAGACCTGTGGTGCCAGCAAATTCAGCAGCCATGAGCAGTCACCAGTCATGACCAGTCATTCTAGTGAACATGAGGACCAGACTAGAGCAATTCTTTGCACTAGTGTATACCTGTGACACATTAGATTTTTGCTCCTGAAGAGCCATAGAACTTTGGGTCATGAGCTTGCACTGAAACTGCTAAAAATGCAGTTTCAGAAAAAATGCACAGGAAGCCTAGAGCTCAGTAACAAAATCAAGGCTGTAAGGGAAGTACCCTTCTCTATAAATATGTGGAAAGGTCATAGTTGGCAGCCACCTCATCCTGAACTACCTAAGCACTTCCTGATGTTTAAACGTTTAAATGTTCTCTGTACATGTTGAATTGTATATAGTGTATAATTCCTGGTGATCACCAAGACCTGTCCCATCACAAATAGGGGGAAATTATGTATATAAATACATGTGAAGATACAATTCAATATATGTTTCTGAGCACTACAGGCTTCAGGTATGTACTACTGGACTTGGTCTGAGAATAAAATGTAGATATAAGAGCTTGTAATTCACATCTAGATCTAAAATTTGGACTTGTTGGACTTCCCTTATTTTTAAACAAACAGATTTTCCATTAATGTACAAGCAAAAGCAGCAATCTGGCAAAAGAAGCAGTATTTAGTTTATGCATCTGTATGCATGACTCTCAGATTCCTTTCTCCTTCTTTGCTGATAAATGACATTTTATTAGAAAAAAATAAAAATCCAGATGATCATTAACCACAGTTGCTATTTCTGGCAAAAAAGCAAAGAAGCAGCAATCCTTCAAGTATTAAAATTCAATA